GATAGTTATGGAGGCCCACCACGAAGGGAACCCCTGCCCTCCCGTAGAGATGTTTATCTGTCCCCAAGAGATGATGGATATTCTACTAAAGACAGGTACGTTGCACTGCCACTTTATTTGTTATTAAGGTGTGGGGGGCATGCGTCAAGTTAATTTTGCTTCTATAGTTATTCCAGCAGAGATTACCCCAGTTCTCGTGATGCAAGAGATTATGCACCACCACCAAGAGATTATACCTATCGTGATTATGGTCATTCCAGTTCACGTGATGAGTATCCCTCCAGAGGCTATAGGTAAGCCCCTTTGCAGTGGTGGTTTGATTGTATAGATGGCTCCGTCCAGTATGATGTTCTTGTACCTTACGGTGTGTCTGCCTTTCTTTAGTGATAGAGATGGCTATGGTCGTGATCGTGACTATTCAGACCATCCAAGTGGAGGTTCCTACAGAGATTCCTATGAGAGCTATGGTAAGACTTCTGGAGGGTCTTGAATGACTCCAGCTTGAATTTAGGGTTATGAAGCCAGTTTAATTAGGCTGTGTGGTGCTTGCTTTAAAAGGGGGTTTGCTTGCTTTTTGGAGGGGGTAACTATCAGCTGGGCTTATCCTAGTTTTGTTGAGGGGCTTTTATTTTCTAAGTTTTTGTTTTTTTTGAGGCTGTTTGCTTGCTTTGGAGGGGATTTTGCTTGCTTAAATTGGCAGCCTTATGTGTTTTCCCCCAACAGTGAAAATAAAATTTAAAACACTTTATTAACAAGATCAAATGTTTACCATTGCAATGTGAAGGAAAGTCTACAGTTCAAACTTGCAACTTATCACTGGAAAGTGGCTGAGTTTCTACTATAAAATAACAAGCTGTCTGGAATATCCTCTTGAAATACACACCGTCTTCAGTCTTTTCAAACAAACATTAAAATCAATCCATTTCCGTATCTCAGCAGATGAGCAAATCCCTGTTATGGCCAGCAATGGCAGAGTTTAAAACTTTCCCAGTTGAGAAAGTAAAGGTTTAATACAAGAATTCTGTAAATTCAGGTTTAAATGTTGTATATATACAATTTAAAGTGTTGCCATATTACCTGACCATTGACCCTGCAGGTAACTCACGTAGTGCTCCACCTACACGAGGGCCCCCGCCATCTTATGGTGGAAGCAGTCGCTATGATGATTACAGCAGCTCACGGGACGGATATGGTGGAAGTCGAGACAGTTACTCAAGCAGCCGAAGTGATCTCTACTCAAGTGGTCGTGATCGGGTTGGCAGACAAGAAAGAGGGCTTCCCCCTTCTATGGAGAGGGGGTATCCTCCTCCACGGGATTCCTACAGCAGTTCAAGCCGTGGAGCACCAAGAGGTGGTGGCCGTGGAGGAAGCCGATCTGATAGAGGGGGAGGCAGAAGCAGATACTAAAACCAAACAAAACTTTGGACCAAAATACCTGTTCAAAGAAACAAAAAAATGGAAACTATTCTGTCATAACTACCCAAGGACTATTAAGGAAAAATTGTGTTACTTTAAAAACCTGTTTTAAGTTCTCCCATAATTTTTATGTTCTTGTGAGGAAAAAGTAAAACCTGTTTAATTTTATTTGATTTTTATGACATTGCTTTCAACAAGCAAATGTTAAATGTGTAAGACTTGACTTGTGTACTAGTGTTTGTGATTCTCTTTAAGTTTTCCTGAAGGCCAATTCCTGTTTGATTCTTCCCAGTAAGTGAGGCAAGCAATACTTCCACAAACATCTAGCCATCTAAAATGGAGAGATGACTCGTTCTACTTATATAAACGAGCTAGATTTTAGAAGGGTTGGTTGGGTTTTCTGCTACTCTTAAGATTTCAGAGTGTCTTCAAACTGAAATCCCAAAGTGTTCTCAGGGTGAAGAACCTGAGATCAGATGCTTACTTAGGAAAGTGCTGTTCACTCAGTAAACCCGAAACAAAGGATAATGCTGGCCAATATATTGCCTTTCTGACATTTCCTTGGGAATCTGCAAGAGCCTCCCCTTTCCCCCTCCCCCGTTAAGACCATTTAAAGTGTGTATTAAACAACTACAGAATACTAAATAAAAAAGTTTGGCCAAAACCAACCATGAAGCTGCAAACGATGCTTGCTCTTACTGTTTCAAATTTTTGCAACTCTGTAGTGTCTCACTTTTAAAGGAACAGCTTGATTGCAAAGGAGAAAATAGATAAGCAATGAAGTTCTCTCCAACTTCTCAAAGGCTTATGACTTCTAAAAAGTGAATCAATCAGCATTCCACATCAGATTTAAAGCATCAAATGCCTGTGAAACAGCAAAGATGGTAAGCAAAGCAAACTAGTTTTTCCGTCTAAATCGAAATTGAACCGTTACTTCCTCATAGTACAGTAAGGCATACTGTACACCATGGCAATGGAAATGCTTTCTAGCTTTAAACACGTTTGGAAAAGCCAGATGTTCAATAGCATATTAGAAGTCCTCCAAATTCAGCACTTGGATTTTTAATTTTTATTTTTTTAAAGCATGTTGTGATGACACTTAGGCCTAAATAATGTAGCTATTGTTTACCAATAGCAATCTGGGGTCTGGGAGGGGGTATTTTTTTTTTTAAAGAATCTGATGGAAGACCTTTAAACATGCTACATTAGTGTATTTGAACATTTTTCATGTTAGTCTTTTATTCAATGTGGGAAATGGCTTAGCTTTGGGGGTCTCCCTCTTTGCCCCTATAAGCCATTGCAATCTTGACATTTAGTTGGATGCCTGACTTGTTTTTTAGTTCTATGAAACTACACTGTATGGAGAAAATCTATTGCAAGTGGTCATTAAAACAAAACCTGAGGCAACATGACCCAGGTCCAGCCATGAAGTTGAAAAAGATGCTCTTGAATATAGTAAACTTGAAGACCTCCAACTAAAAATCCTTTTACTGCACTTAATCCTTCAAATAAGTTTTGTGCGTTCAACTTATGGATTTAACATGGCAGTGCACCATTGGAACAGAATGACAATCCATAAGCCATGCAACTTAACCATTTAAGCCATTCCAGTCCATCCCAAGCCAGTGAATCCTTCACCACTTGAGAGAAGTAGTAGATCATGAAATACATTAAACTACAAGTCTGAACTTGCCTATTCTTCTGGGAAAGGAGGACAGTTATAGGCAAGTTTTAAAGAGTTTCATTGAGAGGTAACTAGTCTTCATCTGTTTTTCCAGGTTGATTATGGTCAAATCTGGTCATGGGAGTGCTGATTTATTCACTAGGTTGAGCTGGAGCAAGAGAACTCAAATGCTAAGGTAGGTTGTAATGGGTTAGTTAGGGCTTTTGTCATGTCACTACTATATAGCTTTGCCACATTTTAGAGTTGCAACTGGCAAGTTTTCTGATTCTCAATTGGTTTGCAAAAAGGAGAGAAACCTGGCTCTTGGAAGCAATGTGTAATGTAACCTGGCAGGTTAATTATTTGAATCACTGGTGAGGTAATTTTTAAAAGTAATCTTTCTACTTGTGGTTTAGTCCTTGTAAAATTACAAAGTTGCTAATAGAAAAATGTTTAATTGCTCTTTTCACTGGAATACGCCTTATATATTTGCACTTCTGGTCTGAAGCAGATTTGTTCAGACATTTTCATTGTTATTAGTGCACTACTACCAAGTTACTAGTTTGAGAGGTAGTACTTTTATTGGTGTGATAATGGATACACACCTGAAGAATGGTGCTTAAGAACTGCAGTGGGTGGTATCAAGTTTTCACTTGAAAACAATTGTTTTTTCCAGTTAAGGGAATTGTTAGATTAGGTAGGAGAGGTGGTATTGAATATGTAGCAATAAATATCTGACCCCATGTTTTTCATTTTAGAGTTGCTGAAGCAGAAGAGTGCTGATTGTCAATAAGTCACACCAGTTGGCAATACTCATCAGAGTTGGTTTGGTCCTGGCAATAGATTTTGCCATAAATGGTTCCTGTGGATCTCAGGGAGGAGGCATCACTGGGTTTTGTTCAAATGTGGAGTCTGAGTATCTGGGGCTAAGGTGCAAGTTCTCAGCAGAGGGGTCTGAAACAGATTGACTGGAGGTACCTGGGCGAGAGGTTACTCCTGCTCTGCTGGCTTTCGTTTTTATTAGTTATAGGACAATGCTGCGATTAAAAACTATTTGAAGGTTGAATGAGGGGATTGAAAGGCTCAAGTAGTAAAGCAGAGATTAGATGTGTGAAAAAAATGGGGAGGGTAGACAAAGATGACAAACTGCTTGAAATATCAAAACACTTTAAACAGGTAGCTAAATTACTTGGTAGGCACTATTCCTTTTGTAAGCCTACTTCAACTCTTAATCTTTTTTCTTGGTAACAGCAATATCAATGCTTTAGAGATAAGAGCCAGTAGTACAAAAAGCAGCCAATGGTCAAAGGATTTGAGCTTTGCATTTGGGAACCTGATAGGAACATTTTATCCCCCTCATTTGACAAACTTGTAATTAAGCAGAGCATACTTGCATAGGGACCATCTTCCATGATCACTTCAGTCAACATATTAGAGGCCCCTTTGCCTCTACATTTCTAGATAATCTTGGAGATCATGTAGAACATTGGTTATGGCAAATACCATGAATATTACATTAATACTAAGTGTGCTTAAATGGCCAAGCATGTTTTGACATGCTTATTGATCTAGCAGACTTCACGCCTAGAAAAAGTGAGGCTTGAGTCTCCCAACTTGGTTGTGAAAGGTGGGATGTTTATTTGTATAGCAGGTAGTAGTCTAACGTTACTAGGACTTGGATATAGTAAATTGCTTTTGGAATGTTTTGTATTTGATACTTAATAAAACTTGGTATACACGTTTTGGGTATGGAAATGGCTTTCTTTTCTAGTAAAAAATATATGGTACCGTCTTTGGGGGGAATTAAACATCATCTGGTCACCACATCTATTCCAGTCCACAAGAAGGTTCACGCAGCATTGTTTCGCCCCTGTCCCCTTCTGATTGCCATGCTTATTCCGAGTTGGCCAACTCCTGTCAGCTTTAGCTTCTTGTCAAATTAGTTTACTTTTTAATGTAAAGTCACTGGGACCCGTTCTACCAAGCCTTAGCACCTAAAATAGTACTTGGGAGGAATGCTGAGTTTGATTGTGGAAAGGAGGAATGTAGCTGATCAGTGGCCCCAACCTGAAATTCCAAGCAAAACTTAGGTCCAGTTTTTATCATAAGCATCAAGACTTCCCCAAAGGTAATTGGGGTCTGTTTCAATTTTGCTCCACTACCCTGAGGGGCTCATCTCTCTACAGCCCTGCTGTAGAGGGATGTCTAGTTGCATACAGATGGGCCGTGGGTCCCCTTTTCTCTAGTTCCTAAATGCTCCCTGCCCCACTATCCAAATTCTACCTGGCTAGACCAGAAGATGTACACTGGTACAGAACTTGGATTGGAATCCAGGACAGATAACCCCCTCAGGACCACTGGTGAGTGGTGATACTAGGAGTTTGTGATAGAAAGGGAACCAATTAGAAGGGTCTACATAAAACCTTGGAGGGTGGACAGTAAGATTACAAATTACCACGGGTTCATGAGCAGGGAGGGAGGGAAAAAAGCTGGTACCAAGGGCTCAAGTCGAAAGCAAATGTTTTGAGAATGAGGGTAACATGTTTGACATGTATGTATGGGTTGTGATAAGCGTTCTAGGAGCCCCTAATAAAATATTTTTAAAATACTGAAATGTACAAAGCAGGCCATTCCATTTGATTGCCTGGCGTTATCACAGTTGCCTGCCTTTGTTCCCCAAGAGTAAGCACCATTTTGGGTTTTAAGAGGCCGCCCCGCCCATATCTTTAGCTTTGCCTGTGTTTTGGTGGACTGCTGCTTAAGAGCATCAGGCTCTACTTGTTAAAAGACACCCACTGGGTGGTTCTCCGATGGGAGGCCTGTGAGTATTATAGCAGGGAGTTTGAGAATTTGGTTGGGGAATATAAATGTATGCACCTTTATGCATGAGCATATTGGTTGCTTTTTAGTACAGTACAGTTTTTGAAGGAAAGCTAGACTTCCTAGTTTTAACTATTAGGAATAAAGTTGCTAAAAATGTTTGGCTGGATGAAAACATGAAATTACTAGGATCACAGACTGGTACGTTTAGTTAAAAACACTGCCAGACATTTTCCCAAGGTAATGACATCGTAACTGCTTAAACCAAGAGGGGACTCCTGAAAAGTTTTAAGGAATTGGAAGATCGTGGATTGTGTTAATGTGTTTTCTGAAGCCCCTTCATGAGTGTCCTGATTACTTCGCACCTTCATCTTTTGGGGGTTAAGCCATTCTGGTGTTGCATTCTATGATTGTTTAACTTTGCATTACTCTTATAAGTAAAACTGAGCTCTTGGTTAAAGTGACGTATATACAGTGAAACATGTTCTCAAGTGTACAGTTGTGATCCGTTTGGGGGGTGGGGGGAGCGCAAACACATCTAGCCCACACTTCATGAAGATAATGTTTTTCACTCCAGAAAGTTTCCTTGTGTCTCCTCCCAGTTAATAGCCCATCTTCCACCCCCAGAGAAGGCAACAGTGACTTTGACCATACCATATTCACACATTTTAAGCATTTAAGAACATCGCCATTGGTGCAGCATAGCAACAGTGAAACATACAACTTTCCCCTAGTTCTTAAATGCTCCCCCCGCCCCCACTATCAGGATCCCAATTCTGCCTTACAAATCCGGCTAGACCAGAGGATGTATACTGGTACAGATAGGAACTGGAAGCACAGGGAATCCAGGACAGATGATCCCTCAGGACCAGTGGTGAGAGTGGCGATGCCTGGAGGGTGGAGGGAAGGTGGGGTAGAAAGGGAATCAATTATAAGGATCTA